AAAAGGAAATAAAAGAAAACTGTTTAAAGGTTTTAACTTTGAATTTTGAACAAGATAGAACTTCGAGTTAGTGAAATGTTTTAACTTTTTCACCTAAAAGGGATCTAGTGAATTGGGAACAATGAATCGTCAACCTGCTAGGGACCAAGCAGAACTAGTTGAAGTATTCAAAATGGTGGTGGACCTACAAAATCATCCATCTTTTCCTAGGATTTAAATCCTAAACAAGCATGCAATCAATATGATTTGTCATATAATGTTTTGCATATTTTCGTTGATGTAATTACTTGAAAATTACAAGTTACTGATATATAATTTTCACTGAGAGAAAATAAGAAAAAGTATTTGAAGGTTTTAACTTTGAATTTTCAACAAGCTAGAACTTTGAGATAGTGAAATGTTTAACCTTTTCACCTAAAAGGAATCTAATGAACTGGGAACAGTGAATCATAAACCTCCTAGAGACCAAGCAGAATTAGTTGCAGTATTCAGAATGGTGGTGGACCTAAGATTTCATGCATGTTTTCCTAGGATTTCAATCCTAAACAAGCATGCAATCAATATGATTTGCCATACAATTTAGTTGATTTTGCATATTTTCATTGATTTAATTACTTGAAAATTACAGGTTAATGATATATAATTTTCACAGAGAGAAAAAAAAAAGGAGACTTTTTCAAGGTTCTAACTTGGAATTTTGAACAAGATAGAACTTTGAGAAAGTGAAATGTTAACTTTTTCCCCTAAAAGGAATCGAGTGAATTCGGAAGAGTGAATCATCAACTAGGGACCAAGCAGAATTAGTTGAAGTACTCAAAATGGTGGTGGACCTAAAATTTCGTGCATGTTTTCCTAGGATTTCAATCCTAAAAAAGCATGCAATCAATAATCAACCAAAACAAGCAAAGGAAAATACCTGGTCTGCTGAGAAAATTGCCCAAGCTAAGGGCTTGTTGAACAGGACAGTCCCTCTAACCATGCTCACAACACAACGCACCACCTGCAAAAAGGAGTAGGCTGCAACCATGCTGTTGGCTACCACCAGAAACCTGCATATTTAACACTCTCATATAGTTGGTTTTCTTACACAAGAACTTTCATCTGTCTGTATGTATATCTTTATGTATATGCATATATATATATATGCATGTGCGTGTGTGTGGATGTACGGGTGAATGGATATAAAAACCCTACACAAGAGCTTTCATGTCTGTGTATCTAGCTTTCTTTTCCATGGAGAAAATTTCTTTGACTTGGGTATCAGTACCCAGAAGAA